ATGAGATATTTTTAAATTTTCTCAAATGTTATAACATTTCAGTAGGACAGATTGAGGGTGGTTGGCGAGATTGGTCAGCATGGAGCTTATGCTCTGTGAGTTGCGGACATGGGTTGCAACGACGATGGCGCTCATGCGATTCACCCATTCCTCAAAATGGAGGAAATTTTTGCGGAGGCAATTTTGTTGAGTCTTTGGACTGCTATGCCGGCAATTGCACAAGTAAAAATCTTTTATGCAACCCTGAAAACACTGATTATACAGCGAAAATAAACAATTAATAAATTAAGAGAAGAATATGCACTGAAATGGGGAATGTTTCAGAATCACCAGCTTTGGCTATTTCCGTAAGTGACACAGTGTGCTCCTGTGGATGTCTACTCAGCCATAATGTTGGAAGATTTTTCGCTCGAACATGTAAAGAAATCACTGATTGGACATTGAAATCTCACGGAAGATTTCTGCATTTAAAATTGAAGCACGATTCGACGGCGGCCAAGCAATTTAGACTTGAAATTTATCGCGATTTAAAAAAACAGGTTCATTTTCATAAAGGTCGCCATTCGATAATATGAAAATGAATTCGTCATTAAGCCATAAAGTCTCTTCTTGCAGAAAATTTCGTCATCACGTATTAATTTCATTTCAGGAATTAGCTTACGACTCTGGAGTAAACAGCCACATTCTTAAAAGCAATTTACAGTTCATTTCCGAAGATTACTTCGTTATTTCACTTCTGAAAGTAAACAGCTCATCAAACACCATCTCGGGAGTGGAAATAAATTTTGAGTGGAGGAATGGTTAGTCATCATGCGATATTATTCTATTCTGCAATATCATTAAATAATCTAGAATAAAAAAATTAATCAAATCCCAAATTTAATCTAAAACATTTCTAAATTTCATGAATTCAACTTTTTTATTATAGCTATTCTTAATATGGTGATGCGGCATAAATCATTGACAATGAAACTGTCAAATATCCGCTCGTTTACGAGTTATGAGTTCCCACTTCGATTGGCAGGTGCCTTTCGTCGTACCTTTCATTTTAGATGCAAAGCAAGAACTCAATGTCTTCCACAAGGAATCTGAAATGTCATCAAACGATGACCAATTCTATGGATGCAAATCATCCATATTTGTTCTCTTAATTTTGCACTTTTGATCGATCGCAGAATTTGTTATATATTTATTTTATTGCAGCAAGCGATGAGTTGTTATTATCATCAATTACAACACTGAAATTATCAAATGTCTGCATGTTTTGCTATCACAATTTGCCATTCCTCCTATTAAGTTTGTTCATTATTTTAATTATATCACTCCCACCACTGTTGTGCTCTTATGCTACCATATCGGTTATTCGGAAAGCAAAATGGAAGCGAAATCGACAACTGAAAATTGATAATTTGCTGGAGGAGCCGAGGTATCTTAATTATTCTGAAATTTCCACCCCTTCACCAATCAAATGAATGATTACGTCTATAACTTATAATGGTGTTTTTGTTATTAAGTGTAATTTACCAGTAAGTTCAAAATTAATATCTTGATTTTATTTTTTATTTATTTTAGACCTAATCCGAGGATGATAGAATCTGGACAAACTGACACAACCGAAATTAGATCAAGTAGAACCGTTATCACGAAACGTTCTATCGGTATACAGCTTTCAGCATCATCAACTCCACGTTTTCCCCATGATAAAGGTTAAAATTTCTGAGAAGTCTAACTTTTCTAGATTTTATCACATAAAATTTTCAAATCTTGAAGTATTCGAAACCAGAATAACTGGATTCAAATGTTTCATGGCTATTGGCCTAAACATGTTGGCGTCTTTGCTTTCAAAATATAATCTCTCTATTCTCAGGAATGTTATGGGCCCATGCAACTAATTCACCACAGATGACCCCACGTAACGATGAGCACTCATCATTGTCATTCAATGCTGATCACGATTTGGAATACGATTATTACGAACCAGCCGTGCCAGGTTCATTCCTTACGTCGGCTATCAACTTCTACTCTGATATTGATATTGAACAGATTATAGGTAGTTCGGATCTTTCATACAGTCTGATATCTAAGCATGATGCTCATACACAAATTGATGATAATATGTGATAGTATGGGATTTATACTGAGCTTTATTGTTTTCCAATTCCTTATTATTTGTACTTTTCACTTTCAATAATAATTGGTAACCATTTAATTAATAACGCTCCGTGAATCTTCTTGTGTCAGGAGCACTGTTTATTACTACTTCGTTCAACTTTCAACTTATCAAACATATGTATCCGCGGCTGATGAAAAATTATAAACTATTCCTTTCGATGAACTAATTGTTATAACAATCGAAACTTTTAATCATTACGAAAAACTCACAACTGATATCATCAGAAGATGTCACGAATTAAATCAACATACTTGCCGTCTTTTGCCATGATAAACCGATGCTACAGGAGCAATCGATTCTGAACAGCATGCTTTCATTGATTAATTGTATTAGTAAAATTTCTCATTCTATATGAAATTTTCGAAATTAATGCAATCACGAAGTGACCTTTACAACAAACTGCATTATTTTTGCTATTAGAAGACTGAAAACAAGAGTAAGGTGGGAATGACTTAAACGTCATCAACAAGAATGTATCGATCACCTTGGATATCCGAATTTAATTGTATCAACTGACTTATTTAATTTAGATATCAGACAGCAGAGATACCTATGATCTGTCTTTTTTGAAGGATGAATTCCTGGAAAAGAAGGAGAATGAAATATGTATAAAAAAATTGATTAATTTATCAGATGATACTATGTATGTAATAACATAATAAATGCGGCACAAATTCTCAAAATCCTAGTTAATTAATCAGTAATTACTTGGAAAAATGATTTGATTTTTCTTATACATTTCTAAAGTCCGAATAATTATTAATAAAACAAAATTGATAGAATCTATTGCTTAAATATTGTAGTGAACGAATTACTTAATTATTAAAAAACAATTTATTAAAAACTTATTAAATTGTAAAAAAAAAGATGCACAATTGTCGAATGCGACAATATCGTCATATTTTTATGCTTCTTATTATTGTGTATGCGCTGTTTGTAATCAATGTGCCACGAATTTGGAAAGGAAGAAGTCGAGGCTTAGCAACGATCATTTTTTATTGGAACGCTT